CCTTGGACGAATGAGACATTGGAAAATCTCTCTCATGCATTAGCGTGTTCCATAAACTGAACTTAAGGCAGCATGCTGCGAAATATATGGCATACCTGCGTAATATAAAGACTGGCAAGTGCAGCAAGTTGTTTACCCGGACGTTTTCTCACCAAAATATAGAGATCACATGATATATATGCATGAGAGAGATTTTCCGATGTCTCATTCGTCCAAGGGATAGGGAAACGTCGATATTCATTATCGTCCCCGTATACGTAACCTTCGCTCACACTAGCTCACTATGGTCTTTACTGGCGGTGTTATGGGAGATATTTTGTTCTGATATGCAACACCCATATATACATGTATATAGGATTTGTTTCTTGTCGAGTCTCTCCTGAAACCTATGACGAATACTTACAAAGGTTCCTTCGTAGGATCCCAGCAACATGGACTATAGTCATCGGTCTCCAACTCTTTCATGTCCTCTTTTGAAATTTCGAACCCGTAAACGTCTGAATTCTCTGTGATCCTCTCAGGATGGACTGACTTTGGAAGCGGTACAAGCCCCTGTTGTCAATTAGAACCGCCTAAATAGACACCATAAAACAGGAAGAATTCGAACACACCATCTGCAAACTCCATCTCACCAATACCTGTGCAGGCATCACCCCGTACTTCTCGGCCAGATTCTTCACCACCGGCTCACTAAATCTCGTTGCCCTCACTAACGGTGAATAGGCCTGCACTACAACCCCCCTATCTTCACACCACTTTCTGATGTCCTTTCTGCCCAGCCACGGCGTGACCTCCCATTGCCCCACGCTCAGGACACCTCCGCCACCCTCTTCATGAATGTATTTCCACAATTCGTTTAGATGATCCACGGAGTAATTTGAAACTCCCAAAGAGCGGACTTTTCCCTCTTTGTGTGCTTCCATCATGGCTTTCCATTCTCCAAGGCGCGCGGTGCGCCCGCCGTACGGAGCGTGAATAAGGTACAGATCAACGTAACCCTCAAGCTCTGGGTTTGACGTGATGACATTATTGAGGGACTTTTTAGTTTCTTCATATCTAGAATATATATATATGTTAACCTACCCCATCTTCCTGCCGATACAGAAGGGTGGGCGGGTGGACGTACCCGCGAAGTCGAGGCGGTAGCTTTGTCGTAAAGAAGACCTCGGAGCGAGAGAGGGGGGATGCGGCGATTGCAGTGGCACAAGGCCGCTCATTGCGATAGGCGGTGGCAGAATCGATCTGAGGCGTTTGTTAGCGTGCTCTGCTGGGATAGGCTCGTAGGAAGTGTTACGTGTCGGTAGCCCTTCGAGAAGGCGTGAAGTACAAGGGCCTCGCATTTATCTGCTGGGCTGGAACAGCATTAATTCGGGCACTAGTATGATATATATATGTATACATGCATACAGCGGTGTAATTGAGCTTCTTACGTTTGGTAGACCTATGAGATGTCAGTACTGATCTGGTAATTAAGCATGCTACCTCCTGCGGGATAGGCACATACGCCGAGACCTAGACGCGGCATCTCATATCCTGAAGCCAGGCGCACGGTGGTCGAAATCGTGAGTTTAGAAGCCATGTTTTCTGTCCTGAGAAGTGGCGTTTTCTGTCATTTCCTGAAGAGCGCTCTCTGCACAGATGTCAACCAACACGGTGAGTTTCAGTGCCAAGAGAAATATGACATCATGCTCTAGCTCGCTAGACTTGTTGCGGAAGAACCGTCTCAGTGCTTTTTAAGGTTGGCGAGGCTGCAATGATCGATACCACACGAATTTATGTAGTCGATGTCAATGATCGAGATGATCGCTGTACACCAAGGATGAGAGTAAGGTTCTGTAAGGTTCTGTCAGTGCGCAGCTGTGTTCAGCTCACAACTGTAGCATCTTACAGACCGTGGTATAAATGTTCGCTGATAAGGATCTATATTATAATCGAAGGTATTTTGCTGCGGGCGTGTCTCTAAATTATCACTCGGGATTTGTGCAAAACCAAAAAGAATATTGCATTTTTTTGTTTAATTCATCAATTGAAAAGAATATTGTACTGCCTACGGAAAAACGAAGCTCTCAGATTTCTGTAGATATACGATGCGATTTAGCAGATACTTCGATTTCTCAAGCCTTTCATCGCACGTTTCTAGAATATTGCTGATATCGATCAGAATAGAGGAGCCATGAGTCGAGAAACGACTCTATATAAAATGTACATGTATCTAGCTACACGTACTACATCCTTACTTAAATACGTATACTTGTCTTGCGGCCGGCCCTCGAAGGGTCCCCGAGGTTTGGCTACGCATATATATGCATTGCGCACATGCCACTAACGGCACCGAACACACCCCGACAGCCCTCAAAAGACTACAACTTCTCCCTCAAGCCTATCACCACTGTTACTACTACCTCCTTCATCTCCTTCTTTCTTCTTCCACACTACTTCCGCTCTCTTGCAATCAAAACAATCTCTTCATCTCCAAGAGAAACTTTAAAATACAGAATAAATATGTGGAATCTAAGGGCTAAAGCTATCAGCATCGAGCATGTCCCCCAAGAAAACACACCTAATCCCCTCTCTCCGGCTGAAGCTGTTACCTCTCAATGTGTTGCTGCTCGCAAGGAAGGCGGCCCCCTCTGTCATTTTGAACAGCTCTTGGAGAACAATCACAAGCACACCATCCTTGGTATTCTCCACGAGTGTGTTGGAGTTATCGAAGACTCCATCCACCAAAACGACACTTCTAGGTAAAGCTACAAGCTCTCTGAACAAACTGTTGTCGAGCTAACTATTGGTGCTATTGTATTAGAGAGGAAGACAAAAATGAGTCTTGGCCTGCCCTTTGGGCTCGTATCTGGAAACTTGTGAAGTTTACCGAGGAATTTCGTAAAATATTTTTAAAAGGAGTGCTAGTTATCTATGTTCAGATGATTATCGCTGTGTGGAAGCAAAGTGTTCCGTTGTCAGTCGCTGAAAGTACGGATTTCAGCATTGTTCTGGGACTAGTTTTATATGCCACCAGAGGTGAGCTCATGAGGCTCCTCGGCTACCGGGTCAAGTTTTACCTGTTGAAATCATTTAATTGGACGGTTTACGGTAAGTCTCTTCTCATTTTCGAACTTTCCTTATACTCTACTTTATATAGAGAGAGAAAAGAGAGAGGGGGGGGGGGGGGGGAGGAGAAGAGCAAAAAAGGAAAGAAAACTCTAACTCAAGCAAGACTTAGTCAAAGGGTTTAACAACCCCAATGCACCGTTTTTCAACACCCCCATCTTTTATGCCGCTCTTTCCATCACGATACATTTTTTAGTTGGAAGATTCGACTCCATTTACTGGCAGGCGTCCAACTTCGTCTACTGGTATTACGAAAATGCCGTATTCGCTGTCGTGACACTACTTGGATGGCTGCTTGGGAAAAAGCTGATTGGCTACCTGTTGGGTGCCCTTGATGGATTTCATTAGTGGATAAGAAGTTGTGGACTCTAGAGTAAGGATGATGATATTATATATCATGCTTGCCCTCCCGGGTCGTTCTTGTGGGTTTCGTTGTCGTCAGGGTTGGTAGGGGTTACTAGTGAGATCTCGAGAAGAGTCATTAGCGAAGGAATCCTCCGATACTACACTGTTTGAATGTTGTCAAAGGCAAGGTTGCCCACAGAGCTAAAATTTCGTTTCATTTCTCTCGATTCTTGTATCTCGTTCATTTCCTTCTTAAAAGTACATACATTTATGTATCTTCGTCGCTACATCCAAAAATTGCTTACCTAATAAACGCTATCGAGTGATTCATTATGACTACATGTATTATCACATCCACATTCATTAATTGCATGCATACTATACATGTAGTCTATCGCAATATCGCAGTTCTTCTCCCCGCCTCACACAAATAACAGCGTAGAAATATATAAGGAAATAATCACAGACGGAACCCGTAATGACCCTATATGCGTACTATAGGTGACGGTTTTACTCTTCTCCCTCATCGTTTTCAAGTCTTCCCCGTCCTCGTTTTCTTTCTCTTTCCTCCTCATCTTTATCCTCGTCTCTGTCCCCCCTTTTGTGTCCCCATTTCGTGAAATCTTTCCAGATTGCGAGCGCGGTTTCGATGCCTGTTTCCGTCCACAGCAGTTTCTCAACTGTGTTGTGTTTCTTGTTTTTACTCCTAGCTTCGGATGAAGTGTCCACAGCCATTGCAAGTCATGATTCCAACAGCACAAAGAAGGGTTATGAACTTATCATTATCATATAGAAAACTAAAATACGAGTAAAATCCAACAATATTTCCTTTCCTATTGAGTCAAGAATACTGGTTCTAAACCAGCCTAGTAAGTAGAATACCATATAGATACCGTATCAATTCCGTATTCTTTCAATACCACTAGCAGTGGTGAATATCTACCAACTTCCGGTACTGTATTTAATTTAATTGTTTAGTATAACAAGTCTCCTACCTAGAATATGTCTTTCAACCTTAGTTGCTCAGGGCCAATTGCAACTACGGCCTCCCACGAGACTATATGTACGTAAGGGACATATGAAGCCTATGAAATCATGCGAAACTGTGCATGATTAATTATGTCCTAAATATGGTTTAGTTAGAACAAAAATGCCATCTATCCGTCATCGCTGATGGTTGGGCCGAGTTCTTTCATTGAGGCAAAATGACTGGCTATATGCCGTAAAGCACATTCGCAAACGGACGAGCACAGGATCGCCTACTCTTTCCCTACACAGATCCCCTGCAAACAATAAACAAATTAGCAATACTAAAGCTAAAATAGCAGAAAGAACACAAGGTTTTTAGGTGCTTAGTAGTACGCCAGAGTGAGGCCACCTCCAGATTTTGTTCGTCCCCGAGTCCGTAGAGTATATCGAACTCATGTGACGTACACCCACGGAGTATTTTTATTTCACCAATCATGCAAAAGGACAGAGGGTACCTCATCTTTAACTGAAGCAAAAGAAATCAGGGAGAGGAAATAAAAATAAAAAGTTCTAAATATTGCTTCGTACCGGGAATCGAACCCGGATCCTCGCCGTCGTACTTGTTTCCATACGATGCATTACCACTATGCTATTGAAGCTGGAAGAATATGTGCTGGAAGAGATCATAAAGGTAACTCTCCCTTCAGGTGAAATACCACACCCGCTCCCACTACTACCACTAACACCACCATCATCATGATCATCATTACACCACCATCATCATGATCACCATTACACCACAACGTCAGATAACGCGAAGGACAGCGCCAGCCTCGTCTCAACTACATACATATCGCTAGACTTCTTCTCGAAACAGCGTCTGGTGAGCGAATAATCCAATACCAACGAGGAATGATGAGAGGTAGGAACGGTGCGCTGCTTTCCCTGGGCTGGGAGACGTGACAACATCCGCGGGCAGCAAGGGGCAAAGGTACAAGCGGAAAGACAAAGCTGCCCACTACGGCCAGGTTTCTGTCTACATGTAGTTTTACTAATATATAAATTCTATGTAGGAAAGGATTACTCCAACTCTGGAATCTACAGCTTGCTCTGGGCCACTTTCTCTCCCCATTTAACGTACCCCTCCGGCGGACTACTCCAACTCCAATCTACATACTCGCCCAACATATCTCTTACCCCACTCCACAGCTCTTCCAATCTCTTCAACCTCTCCGCACTCACCTGCACGCCTCCCAGCTCCCCACGCACCTCCCTAAACGCCTCTAAATTAATCTCCAGTTCCTCAATATAGCTCGCACCCGTAATCACACTCCCCTCCCAATTCTTAAACACCCAGCGCATCGCCACCCCCGCCAGTGACTCCCCCCTCTCCCGACACCACTTCTCCGCTTTCACACACCTCTCCTGCAGCTCCTTCGGCGCCGGATGAAAGTCCCCCGGATAGCTCCCCGACAGCAATTTCATACTGAGCGGCGACGCATTCAGCACCACGTCCACGCCGCCCTCTTCTTTCAGTCTCGGCAGATACTCCTCCAGCTTCCCGTTCTGCAGATTATAGTGGCAGTAACTCTGAACGGCGTCAACCGGTCTTCCCAGCCGCTGCCGGATCAGCACCGCGAGCTCCGCCAGCACTTCAGGCGGGTATCCGGAGATACCGACATACCGGATCTTCCCCTCGTCGACGAGGGTAAACAGCGTTCGTACGGCCTCAACGACGGCCTCGGGCGTAACGAACTCGGTGTCGTGGCAAAATACGACGTCAAGGTATGTGGTGTTTAAGCGCTGCAGTGAGCGCATCACACTAGACCGGATCCATGCGGGGGAGTAGTCGAATGTCTGCTCTGCGATGCGCCCGGCTTTGGTCATGATAAGGTAGGAGTCGCGGGGCGCGCCATTATGCTTGAGGGCGTCGCCGATTAAGATTTCGGACGGCCCATAGTACGGTGAGGTGTCGATGGCATTTATGCCGAGTTCGAAGGCGCGAGAAATGAGCCCGCGTACGGGGAGGAGGGAGGGGTCCGGATTCATCTGCGTGTTGTAGACGCCGCCGCCGAGGATCACTGGTGGGAGTAGGGTTGAGAGCTTGGGGCGGGGGGTGGCCATTGTTTCTTGGTGTTGCGAGGGCACTTGGGGGAGCAATTGAGGAATTGAATATATGAGGTGCGTGAAGCTTCTCCAGTGTAATTGAGGAAGGCAAGGAGGCTACGTAGCTACATGTATAGCTCTCGGGTTTTTCATATCGGCATTTTTCGTTTTTTCTAAGTGCGGTAGTAGCTGTTGCTGCAGGTTTTACCTGTGCATGTATCATTGGCAGGGGTAAGGATCAGGCTGAATTATATGAATTATCCCTTGGACGGATGAAAGTTGTCAAATTCGCGACCTGGACCGTGCACCACTAAGTAAAGGAATTGTATTGCTTTTTATGGTAAAGAGCAGCACCAAGAATTTCCAACAATTACCACACTAGGCTAGTGATAGCTCAGAGAGGGTGGTCGCGAATTTGACAAGTTTCATTCGTCCAAGGGATAGCAGTAGTACCTGTGCTTGGCAGCGGGGCGCAGCTCACGATCATTGGCCTAATACCCGTACTGCAGCGGACGGCCCGGCTCCAGGAGGAACCTACTCTATCACGGCTGCAGTAGAGTACCTACAGAGACCGCTTCTAAGGTCTCAAGTCTACGACTTTTACGAAAAAATTCCATGCACACATATGGAGTTGAGTACAGTTGCAACTCGCTATGCCGGATCTCAATATGCCGCATCCCTTGCTGTCCCGTACGAAGTCCTGGGGGATTTTGATTTTCTTCCTGCGAAATCAGTTTGCTATCCCGGATTTCTTGTGAATATTTGCTATCCCGTACGAGATCCTTAGGATCTTGGCAATCCGGCATATCGAGTTGCGACTGTAATTTGATAGGTGAGTACCCCACAATATCATTTCATATGTCTCATGGGTCGTAGAGTAAATGCTCCTAAAACAAAACAAAACAAACTGATAAAAAAGTGTTCTATTTCTTCGTCTTATCCATCTCAATATCTTCAACTCCTTCTACATCCGCCTTCTCGATATCATCTTCCTTGGAAGTCTCCATTCCAACCTTACTACTCAAGAAGCCATCCATCAGGCGCTTGGTTGGGCCGTGGAAGTTTACTCCTATCGGGAAAGAATATGCAGCAACGAAGAAAATTAGCGGTACAAACATGGCAGTACCAGTGTTGTTAAATTTGTCCGCCGTAACAGCTAGTAGTGGGGGCACAACGGCGCCGCCAATGATGGAGGCGACAACGACTGTTGATCCCGTCTTTGTGTGTTTTCCGAGACCACGGATGGCAAGGGTGAAAATTGTAGGGAAACAGATCGATTCGAAGAAGAGCACGAGCATCAGGCAAGCTGACCAAAGGTTAGTTATTGTTTCTACTAAGAGTAGATATTATGGCGACATACCCATGCCAGCATTCCCAGTAGCTCCAATAGCCGCTGACTGAAACGCGATAACGCAGGTAAAGTAGACGAAGAAGACTTTACGTGGGTTGATGAATTTCATCAAAAATACGCCCAAGAATCGTCCAACTGCGAAGCAGCCCTGTGCGCCTGCCAGGAAGTTGGCTCCATCAGCTGAGCTGGTACCCCTTCGTACTTCAACGACGTAGTTTACAAAGTATCCCGCAATACCGACTACACATTTCAATATTAGTTCCAGATACGAGAAAACCATAGTATAGAGAAGAGCAAATACCTTGAGCGCCCACATAACAGAACTGGGAGAAAGCTCCCCACCATAGCTGATAATGCTTCGAGATCGGCTTTGAATCGTCCTCCGTGAACACGCCTCCAGTAGACTCCATCTGGCGCTCCATATCCGCATCCGTGATCTCTGGGATTGTGGATATATAGAAAACACCGGCAAGAATAAACACAAATATAGCGATGCCCAGATACACCCACTGGACACTTTCCAAGGAACTCTCATTCACATTCTTGAAGAACACTTGCGACGCCAAAACGGGGCCGACGACTGTACCGACTGCCTGAACAGCCTGTGCTAGATTGAGACGCATCTCAGAGTACTTTGGAGGACCGCATACTGCGAGGTACGGGTTGGCGGCGGATTCAAGAGTACCCAAGCCGGAACCAATGACAAATGTGGCACCACAGAATCCCTGGAGTTTGTCAATATTGTCCCCCCTGCTGTCAAAAAAGGGGAATTGTTGAGGATTTCTTACACCGAAGGACCGTTTTAGCGCTGCAGGCCAAAACAGTAGTGCGCCGACTCCATACAATGTCAACCCAAGCATGAAAGTAGCCTTATAGCCAAACTTTCGCAGGCAGTAGCCTCCATATGTCAATGAAGCAATTGGATACGCGCTACAAACGGGTTAGGGTCTGGTAAAACACGTCCGGTACTGGGAGGGATTCTGGTACTAACCCAAAATAAGCAGCCTGGAGGCCTGATGACCGAGACCTAGTAATCCCTAACGTGGTTTGGAAATGCTTATTGAGTACATCTAACAAGCCATATGCAAAGCCCTAATCAAAAGTCCAGATTAACCCAAATAATTCCTCGCAAGAGCTGTAGGTAAGAATAAACATACCCAAAGGAAAAAAAGAATCGTGACTAGACACAGCGGGAGTATTGACTGTCGAAGCGTGAGGTTCGACGCGTTTGTAACCTGATCATCTCGAGCTCCGAGACTGCGTTTTCGAAAGAATTTCGCCATAGTATGAGGGCAAAGATTGATTACTGCGACCTAAACTTTGGGATCGATGCAGTAGGCAAGGTAGCTGATGAGAAGAAAGAAATCCGGGGAGAGCGTGAACTTATCAAACCTTCGCGGCAATATTTACCAACACGGGAACCCTTGGGTCCGAGAGATCTCGGTGCCTAATTCCCAGTTTTGTTTAGGGATGCCCACAACCGGTAGGCGAGACGCAATCCTAGGGGGAAACTCATGGAATTGCGATCAGGTATCAAAAGCCGTGCACATGTAACATAACGCCGTTCAGATCAGTTTATCTGCATCAGACCGCGCCCACAACTCAAACACCCGCCCGCCGCCTGCGCGTATCACTTACTGAGTGCAAATAAAGTAGCACTCTAACCACTCTTCGCCAATCGTGTGTCTCTTGCATGCTCGCTCTTTGCCTAAAGGTTCCCCGATTGTGAGACACTCGCAACCCCCTACCTGGCAGGGAGAAGCACACAATGTACTCCAGGATACCCCGGACGCTCCCCCGCCTATTCGCCTAGCAAACGGCCCGGTGACCGGCTTCCCCACAGTCTCGATGCGGGGAGAAGTGCTCGGTGGTTATTAGCCCGGTGTGCGAAGTGTCATTGCACGACTTGGGGAGGCTGGCTTGAAAGATAGCCAGCCACGAGTGAGCAAGGCTTGCTCGACCTATTACACCTGAGCATTCCTATTGCAAGGAGTATCCCGATATCCTTTTTGGCTCATCGAGGAGTGGGGGATGATAAGCGAGAGGTTGGGGTTCATGATATTTATTTAATTGCTCAGCGGTGTTTGAGAATGAAGGTGTATAGAACTGACAGATCGATAGCGGGGGGATTATATGGGATGACGTCCGATATATTAAAGGAATGAAAATCCGGCAGAAAACAACTTGATGTACATGTACATG